ACTACCCATATGAGTATCTGCAGGGCTTTTTAACATTTTGAATAACTTTACTGAGCATAAAACACCTGGCAAGTAATCCATGAACAAAGGTATTGCTGTGGTGATTGCTAGCAAAAAACTGGTGCCAATGTAGACAAGGTATTTGGGCTGGGGAACCTCTAATCAGGGCAGATGAGGTCACTTATAACAGCTGCACATCACCTAGGAACCTTTCCAGTCTTTTCTGAAATTCTGTGGCTACTCATGTCAACACCAGAAAAACTTTCAGATTTTAGAGGTTTTCGGATTTTGGAATTTTGAATAAAGGATACTCAACCTGGACTCTATTATTGCTGGTGTGTGCATTGTCTGTGAAGTTGCATGTCCTTTCTTCTTTATCTATCACCACAATGATGTGCTGAATATGATGATAAAGGATATTCAACCTGTACTCTATTGTCATCGGTGCAAGCATTGTCTATGATGATGCAAGTTCTTTATCTACTACTACAGTGTTCGGTTTTCTGTGCAATACTTCATAATCACACTGGGTCATGACATCCCGAAAAAATTTTTTATTTTCAATGATACCTTCTGGAGTTTGTCCATTTGTTGTGAGTATTATCCGCACTATTTTATTCTGATTTTCTCAGTGTAGGGCTTTGTTTTCAATGATATAGAGACCCAAGCCTCAATGATAATCTATTCTTACTATTATTATTTAAATTTTAAACCAGTGATACCTCGTAGCTTTTGCTAGGAACCAAGTAGCAGCAAATCTCTTTCAATCTTCAAATATTTTATATGTCATACCTCTTCAGGATGTGAGTGATCATGGCTCTCCACAACCTCCTGTTTTTTTGTACCTCTAAGCAATATCTGTCTCCTTACCGTACATCCAAGCCTATGTTCTGCTATCCATTGGCTTACAGCCATGCTTTGAAACATCTGTTTTCTTATGATCACCGGTTAAGAAATATTGAGCCTGGTCAGTACCTAGATGGGTGACTGCATGGTAATACCAGGTACTGCAATTTTGGCTGTGTGGGTGGTGTAATGGATAATGGCTCAGAATTGGAAATTGGAGAGCCAAGTTCCAATTCCAGTTGGTTTTGTTATATTCACTTACATGCAAATATCATTGGGAAAGTATGAATCTACTTCATCTCACCCCCAGCTATGGGTTAATTAGTAGGACTTGTGTCAGTAAATCATTATTATCTCCAAAATAACCACAATATGTACACTCCCCATTTTAAACTGTCATAGTTTTCCTGTTGTACTTCCTTGTCGACCGCTCTATTGTCACCAGGGCACACATTGCTTTTTTACTTCATCTATCGCCACAATATCTGGTTTTCTGTGCAATAAATAAAAGCATAATAACAAATAATAAAAAAAGGAAAAGAAATATATTTTCCCATGAGGGTAATAATAAAGGAACCAGAAATTTTATTATCTCAATTGGCTTTGTCAAACTCTGTTATATGGCACTGTTGAAGCCTATAAAAAATCATTTACTCTCCTCTCTCTCTCTCTCTCTCTATTTCACCTTCTTGCTCCAAAATGTTGCACCTCATGAAAATTATGTTCCCACTGGGAAATGTCTCATTTACCCACTGACAACTGAACTCTCCTTTCCGCTTTTCAATGCATGACATTTGCATATGTATTCTAAAACTGCCACCTATGAAGTAAATTAACATGTCTTTGATCGTTCCTATCTGCACAAGGCTAACTAGAGTGCATCCATTATAAGATTTATGTTTATCTTTACTGATCCTAACTTCTGGACCAAGAAAAAAGGATTGACATACATTAACCATGCTTAAACGCTCTGATGATGAAGCAAGTAAAAACTTTTCTTTGATCGTTCCTATCTGCACAAGGCTGACTTGAGCACGATCTTTATAACAATGCTTATACTTAGTTGCCCTAACTCCAGGACCACAAAGAAAACGGACATTGAGAACTTTATTTCATTACAGTTTATATAAAAAAGAGAATAAATGGTCCATAGATTTTTATGGTTAAGATTTTTATGCTTCTTCATAATTGTTTACATGTGAACGTGCACACACCTACAATAGACACCAACATGCAACCATTAAATTTTATAACAGAGTGTATTGGTTGTCGGCAAGAGGAATGGCTGAAGGTGCAAGTTATAGATAGAAGACACCAAAATCAAGTAAATACAGAATTTTATATATCCGAGAAGCATTTTAACAAAACATAGAAAATGTGACACTGAAATTCAAAAACTTTAAAATAGCAAAAGATGCCTTCCAAAAGCTAAACAAAGTATTAAGAAACAGTAAAATTTCATTAGAAGCAAAGAAAGGAATACAGGACTGCAATGTAATACCAATCCTCCTATATGGCAACGAATGCTGAACAATCTACTCACAGATGAAAAGAAGAGTTGAGACAACAAAGATATTGTTCTACAGAAGGATGCTGAGAATACAATAAACAGATCATGTGAGATAGGAAAAAGTTTTAATGAAAATGAGAATAAAAATACACTTATATTCAGAATCAGAAAAAACAGTTGAAATTTCTGGGATGAATAATGAGGAAAGAGGGCTTGGAGAATTTAACACTCGCAGGGTATACTGAAGTAAAGAGAGACAAAGAGAAATAGTAAATAACCTACTTGTGTAAATGGATGTAGGAACAGGAAAGATAATAAAAAAACAAATATTTCTAAGAGCTATAAAGTATATTAAGTTGTGGAAAGCCATAAAAGCAAGTCTTAATTGGCTTTGGAAAGAACTGTCTTAATCAAGGGCAAACGTTTTAATTAAAATAGCTGTTATAAGATGCACTTTCATTATCGTCCAGTTTTTAAAGTTTGTGGTAAAGACAATTAACCAGACAGTTACGGAAATAGCTTTTTGATTCTAAGCCAATTTGCTGAGAGTAAAGAGCCAGGCCTATTTCCGTTGATGCTGTTTATTAGGAGAACATGACTTTTTACAAAGATATGTAGGGATTGCCATTGTTGTTGTTGTTGTTGTTGTTGTCATCGTCATTGTAAATTTTTTCAGCTCCTCCTCCTCCCCCATGTTTTAGGCTCGGTTACAGAGTAAAGAACCATAAGGAAGCAATGTGATTGAAAAGCTAAACCCCATGGTTGTAACCTTCAAAGCCCTTCCTTAAATCCTGACATATTACCTGTCCCACCTTCTCTTTATTCATGCCACCCATTCTGCTTTTAATATCTGCTTCTGGAACTGGAACAGTAGTAGTAGTAGTAGTAGTATTAGAAGTAATCTTACTTATTATAAAACGCAGATTGTGTGTGTGTGTGTGTGTGTGTGTGTATCTGTACGTTTATATATTGGATCGAATTTCCTACATTTTTCAACCGATTCCAACAAAACTTCACAGGACTGCGTAAAATTACCTTGTGGTGGTTCTAACAGTGCCAAAAATTGGAAAAATATAATTGTTTTTGCACGAATTCAATTTGAAAACACGATTAAGAGGCATCACGAGAATGAAAGGGGGACAACTCATATCAAGTTATACTTATTATAAAACCCATGTTGTGTGTGTGTGTGTGTGTGTGTGTGTGTGTGTGTGTGTGTTCATTTATATATGGGGTCGGATTTCCTACATTTTTCAACAGATTTCAACAAAAATTCACTTTTTTTTGGCAGGTAGTGTTTCTTATTGTCTTGCACACTTTGTTCTTTATTTTTACATTCAGAATGTTTTAAAAATTCCATTTACAAGACAATTGTTTATAATAAAATTCTATTCAATTGGTAGACTCATAACGATTGAAAACAATGTTTGAGTTTGGTTTGACCAATTCGTAAAAGAAAAAAAAGAAAAAAAAGAAAAATAAAACTAATTAAGACATGCGTGTCTGTCAACCTTAAACAATAATCTTTGTCAATTTTATTTTTCAGTCTTTATGATGGTCAATACTTGATCTATCTCTTACTGTTACATCCCTGGGCAATGCCGGGCTCTACTGCTAGTGATCATTAAAAATCACAAAGAAGTATTCATTAAATTCTCTCATAAAAATATGTGTCGATAAGACAATCTGCTACAGTGAAATAAATTTGATAATTTTTTTTTTCTTACACTATTTACATTATTCAGACTATTTGTCCTCATCTCTGTTGCCATATTTATCACAATGTTTCGTCCGTTGTATGCTCCGGCCTTCTTCAGGTGGAATGTCGAACTGAACCCTTCATTTCACTCGCTGAGGTAGACTGTTCTAGTTCCAGGTTAAGGCAGTGGAGAACTCACAACTCTTTGCGTCTGGCATTGGATTTAACCAACACCTTTATCCAGTGTGTCATGTGTATTTAAGGACATCTGTGTATGAATTTCTGGGACTTATAGACTTAATGTCTTCAGCCTCCATTTTTACCAGTGCTCATATTGCAATTTTTGCTGTTGTCATTGCAATTTTTTTAACAGAGCTCATATTGCAATTTTCTAAAAAAAAAAAATGCAATGATAACAGCAAAAATTGCAATTTTTGAACCACATTCCAACCACCTGAAGAAGGCCGGAGCATACAATGGCCAAAATGTTGTGATAAATATGGCAACAAAGATGAGGACAATAGTCTGAATAATATAAATAGTGTACATAATACCTCATCTCAGAAATATAGACAAATATTTTTTTAATTATCATCGCAAGAAAAATCTTTTAATTCATTAATTACTTCTTATCCTCTAATTTGTAACCACCTAATTTCCTGGATTTTGATTGATTTGTTTTTTACGACTTATCAACCTTTTGTATTATTTAAAGCCCAAACATTATTTTGTAATTTTTTTCCACAATTGAATTTTGTATTAACAGTTTTTTTTTAAAATAATAACAATTTTCATATATACTATTTAACTCATATCTGGGGGAAAAGAGGTGAATTCATACCTTTCCCAAGGGTATTTGCATGTAAGTGAATGTAATGAACCTGAATGGAATATCTGATTTCACATTCTAAGCCATTATACCCCCCCCCACATATCCAAGTTTATAGTACCTGGTATTTGCAAGAGGTCACCCATCTAAATACTGACCAGACTTGACGTTGCTTAACTTTGGAGATCAGACAGGAACTGGAGTTTCAAAGCAATATGGCTGTAAGCCTGTATTTTCTGGAATCAGTAACAATATCCCTTGTTCTATGGGTCAGCAGTTACTTTAATTTTATATTTATTCAAATAGTTTTCTGTCTTTCTTGCAGAAATTTTTGCAAGTAATAATCGAGGCACATTCTTGAGACCAGAACATCATCCATACTGCTGTTATCATCCTGTCTTTGTTACTTTTATTAATAGCATTACTTTGTTTTCAAATTTAGCAAAACATAAAAACCAAAATTACAATGAAGACCCAAGAGAAAAGAACTAGTTGAAGACGTCTGCAAAATCAAAAGACTTTTCTTATAGAAATTCTTACAAACAACAGAAAAGAGGAGTGTTGTCTATTCCAAGATGAAAAAAGTTCCTCTTAAATTCTGTATTATTCATTTTGTGATTTTTAACCCATTAATGGCACCTGTAAAATCCAGTGTTAATTATAGGCTCATGAAAAAACATTATTAATTAAAAGTTTCTACCTATCACTCATTAATGCCCACTGTAAAATTCAGTGTTAATTATGTAAATGGTGCAGCCACTCATATCCGAGGATGTCAGTCTACTAGAGTGGCTAGCTAATCCCCATTGCAGACGACTGCTCAGGCACATTTGTTTTTGTTCAAATCCCGTAGAACTCCCCTGGGGTTTATACTGCAACTATGCTGAGCAGACTTTAGTTACCATTTCTGGGAGAGAGCATGTTATCTAGCATGATCAACAGACCAGATGAACAAGGCCAGCACACTCAAACCCTCGATTACGATGACTTGTGACTTTGTGCTAGCACAAGCATTGACAGCTCCCAATGGTTCTGTCTACCCAATTTCATTCACAAGGCTTGGGTCAACACGTGGTATGGTTTTCAGGTACTTTCTAAAGGGATGCTGCACACTGTTTCCTCTAGACTGATAGCATCAAGTCACCTTCCTGATAAATCGACCATGGTGAGATTAGAACCTGAGTCTCGTGGTCAGAAAGCAAATATTCTAACCATTTGGCCACATGCCCATTTTATCTATAGGTTTATAAATATTCATCATTCATCTTTTTAAACCAATCAGAAAAGAGAGAAATATTCTTCTCTGATAAAATCCCTTTCAGAGATCAGTTTTTATAAGTGATTAGAATCAGTAGTGGGTGACAGCTTGTCTGATAGCAAATAGGCTTCTAGAGGAATCACCCTCTCCCAACACTATAGTAAAGAAAAATTAGAATAAAGAAACACAGTCAACTGTTTTAGTAATAAAAAGGAATAAGAACTTTATAAAGTCATACAGTTATTAAATTCCAATATGAGAGGACATTTTCAAAGCTAAAGATTGTACAGACAAATTTGGAATCATAGATATTTCTAAGGAATTGTTACAGGAATTGGATGCGGAAGCAATTATTATCAGATTTGAACAATCATCTAGTGAACACAAGTGATTGCTCTTAATATAGTGAATTGCCTACAATACTTTATTGTACTTTTAAAATATCTGTTAATGCATAAATTAGGCAGTAAACTATTTAAAAATATCAACCAATGACTTAAAGTTAAAAATTCTATTATAACATTCTGTATTTACATTTGGTATCTACTGCCAGGAATATGTACAGAGCAGGTACAAAATAAGAAATACACATTTTTTCCACAAAAATTTTAAGTGTACCCTTTTTTCCATATGTATTTTTTTAAAGTGTTAGCTATTTGTTATGAAAATTAACTGATAGCATTGTAATTGGGGGTGGTCCCCTTTGTCTCTTGGCAACCAATATTTTAGACCCAGTCTGCCACTGATCAGAATTTAGCTTTGTTTTACAATAATCAGTTTTCTTATGAAATTTCACTGCATAAAAACCAATTTACTCATTTACCTATGTATGATTTTATTAAATACGATTTCAAAAATTTGGATATGGAGACTGAATGTAAACTTTTTAGATTTTTTAGTAACATTTGGTAAATTTTCAAAACTTAGATAATGTTAGTAAATTTGTTAAATATTAATCAAAATCTTAATTCCCATTCTTAGATATCATTTTTGTCTAAACCAAGATGGCTGTACATTTCACAAAGAGGCTGTTTCAATGAAATCTTAAAGGTAATATGTTTTCTTGCAATATTTTTGCTTTAGGTCAAAAATGATCTTTTTTAATCTTACCTGGCCAATACCTGGCATACAATTAGATATGATTACCATATTTAATGGTTTATGTGTATTTATATATATTATAATTATTTAAAAAAAAAAATAGGATTCCTTCGCTACATAAGAGTTCTCATGTTTCAAAAATGTTATGGTCCAGTTCCTTGTACAACGGTGATAGTCCAAGGTAGAACCAATAAAGAAGAACGTGAACACAGGTATGGAATAACACAGATATATTACAAAAACAGGAATATATACAGAGAAGTAGAAGTGTTAGTATGAACAATCAGGTTTAGTAGAGTGAACAATGTAGTCTCGACCAGTATCACTATTCCAATGTCTTGCAGTAATTGTCTGAACGCGACTCTGTTTCGGACTGCCTCTGACTCGACTCTTGACTCGACTTGAACTACTGACGATATTCAGTCACCCCCCCACGAGGGTGTGATGTGGCACAAGGCCTTTTTAACGTGGGCATTTCGAGCCTGTGGGCTCGGCCCAAAATATGCCCATTGAACCCGTATAAACGGGTTCAGGGCCGGTTTTACCTCCCCGAAGGAGACTCCGCCCTTCGGCGTAGCCTCCTTCGGGTTCCTCCCGCCCGTAGGAAGAGAGTTTAACCGAACAGTCGGTTCAGAGTTGAATGATTGACAATATTCAGTCTCCCCCCCACTGGTGCAACATGTGACACAAGGTTGGTTGTTTATTGTGGGTTTTCTGAGCCCGTGGGCTCGGCCCAAAAATATGCCCGTTCGAACCTGCCTAAACTGGTTCAGGGCCGGTTTTACCTCCCCGAAGGAGACACCGCCCTTCAGCGTAGCATCCTTCAGGTTCCTCTCCGTCCGTAGACAGAGAGTTGAACCGAACGCTCGCTCAAGAGTTGAGCGAGTGACTCCTTGACTACTCCTGAGGCGCAGTATTTATTAAGTATGGAATAGTCCATTATTATTATTATGGGTAAGGTCCCATGACAAAAAATGAGAACCAAAACCTTCAATATAATTATTAAAATTACATTGAATTAAAATATCAAACCCTGTTTCATCCTCAAGTGAAAATTTAGGAATAACCAATCTTGAAATTTACGCATCTTTATAAGCATGTTTGCTCACAAAATTAATTACTATGGAAACAGCTGGGGTGACCATTTTGATAGGGGGTCTAACAGTTAATTTTTATCTGCATATCAGTCATCTTCGGAAAGAGGTCAAGCCGAGGTAGGGTGAAGTATCCATTTCAAAGCGGATGATGGCATTCATGTGCACACATCGTCAGGTCAGTCACACTGAAAGGTAGCTTTTGGCACCATGGTATGTCATGAAGTGTCTAAAGAATTTTGTTTTATTTTATTTTATTTATTTAATTATTTTTTATCCAAATGGCTGTTTCATATATAAATGCATGCATATATATATATATATATATATATATATATATATATATATATATATAGATAATGATAATATTACGATTATTATAATATTTACGATTCAAATGGAATAAATTATGACCATGGAATATTAGTGTTTAAGCCTTTTTTTATATATATATATATATATATATATATATATATATAACGTCATCCACAGACAGAATGTGTCGCTGTTTCACAGATCATCAGTGTGGCTAGACATCCAGTTGCCTCTAGCTAGGATCGAAACCCGACTGAATTGGTGTCAGTCAGAGATTCTAACCATTAAGCCATCGGCGCACGGTAGGGATGAAAGTAGATTTTTAGCGTATTTATTTTTAGAAACACGCCCAGTGACCGACAGTGACTCAATTCGCATCTGCGAAGAGTCTCGCTATATAGCTATAATAGTCACTGTTTACCAACCCACACCTCGTTCCCAGAGATATATATATATTTAGTTGCATTAATGTGAGTTTACTGATACTGAGCACTTTTCAGCCCAGCATATATAATATATAAATTACATGCATATATATATATATATATATATATATATATATATATATATACACATTATACATACATAAATATATATATATATATATATATATATATATATATATATATATATATATATATATATATATTGATGCATGTTTCATTAAATAATATAGACAAAGTTTTGTCTATTTATTTTAAAGTAAGTTCCTTTCATATTGTCTGATAAGTTTTAATAACATTATCCTTGAAAGACAAAAGGAAATCACCATATTGATACATGTTTAAATCCAATCTAAGCTTTCGGCTTACATAAGCCATTATCAAAGATGACAATTACTTTTCAATATATCAACCAATACACAGACAAAAAAATAATGATAGTCTGTTTCAAAGCTATAACTAACTCGTGTATACAAGACGTGGAAGCGAAAATTGCGTTGTAGCTTGTGACGTCACACATGACCACGTGAGAGTGGAAAATATATATATATATATAAAAATTGCATATATATTTTTATATATATATATATACATACATACATTCACATTATATATATATATATATATATATATATATATATATATATATATATATAGGTCTACTGCTACGAAAGTTGATTTCCTGTGTTGTGCTAGACAATTTTTCTCACCAAAATCTATCTTACATATTTATAAATCTACTATTCATCCATGCTTTGAATACTGTTTCCACATCTGGTCTGGTACTCCTGCTATATACTTAGAGATTCTAAATAAAATCCAAAGAAGAATCTGCAATGATATTGTTCCTGATCTGGCATCTCACATTCAGTCGCTTTCCCACCAGCATAATGTAGCTTCCCTGTGCCTTTCATGTTAATTATTCTGATGAATTTCCTCCATGGTACCTAGACTTTAAGAATTTAATTGCAATACTAGATTGGCAGCAAGGCCTCATCATTTTACATTTCTT